TTTGTATGTATTAGAAGACACAGAGCAGAAAAAAATAAATAGGAATTTCCTCACAACACATAAAAATAAAAGAGAAAAAATGGACAAACTCCCCCACTGCACAGTGCATCTTATCCCCGGGGTTTGCTCTGCCTCAGGTGCTGCCCGTACCTGGATCTGCTGGACCATGTTGCGCAGCTGCACCAGGAACTCCTTGGCTTCCTTGGCCCTGTCCGACAGGCCATTCAGCGCCTGGGAGAGCTGGCTCTGCAAAGACCAAGAAGGAAACTAGCGAGCTATAATCATACGAAGCAGCAACAAGACCATACAGGGTTGTGTTAACCCGAGACCCAAGAGTCCTCGGCCTCCTAGATTTCTCTTGTCTGAGAGGGGCCACTTGGCCGACATTTGTACATGTGGATTCTGGTAACAATGGCATCCAGATGCCTTCCATTGGCTCCTGAGTAGTTTCTCCTCTGTAGTAGTGAAAACCTCTGGCTACTGCAGTCAAAGGCCCTCTTCAGCTGATATTTGCCTAGAATTTCTCATCTCATTAAATAATTAATTCAGCAATAATTTATGCAATGCCTATTATTTGTCAAGAACTAAAAAAAAAAAACTCTACAAACCAGGGAGTCAGATGATCAGATAATTATCAACTCCAGTGGTCTGGGGTTGGGGCAGAAAGAATGAAGAGCATCAAGAACAGGATGAGGGAGAGAAGGAAGCATCACAGGTGTGATGCTCTGGGGCCATTTAACTGTAAAGACAGAACACAAAGGACATCATGACATTCTTTCTCATCAACATAGTCTTCCTTTTCCCAAGTACAGCCCTGTTGCCCTAACTCTTCTCCACCCTCACCTCCTAAACCGAGGTGTACTGTCTTTGCGATTTCCCACACTGCCCCATCCATACGGGGATGCAGTTCTGCTGGGAGGGCTGCATGTCCAGGGAAGCACTTGCTTTCCCAGCCTCCCTGTCTGTTGGGGTGGCCANAAGGCTCATAATACACATGTGCCCTTCCTGGTCAACTCACAACGCCGTAGGTTTGCAGGAAGAAGAACTGTGTGCAGATGTGCTCAGTTCCTTTACTTGGCCAATGAGTTTGAGAGTTATGCAATCCTTTTGCATTGATGATAAATTCATATATGCCTTCTCTGAGAGTCCTAATGAATATAGAAGTTAAATTATTCTTAACATAACTCTCCTTCTCACCACCATGGCCTTTAATTACTCTGAGAACAAACTAAAACACCATCTTATTATTCTAATAAATGATCCTCTTCATTGGCAAAAGAGAAGCCTTTTGAGATATCTTAACTAGTTTCTAAAACACATTTAGGTTCTGCTGTCTCCCCACCCCCCAATGGAAAGATTTTATTAGGATCCAGTATTTAGGGGTCAAGTTCCATTCAAAGTAAAATGAATAGTGATCAATATTGTTCAGGAAATGGATTTAAGCCATGTCTGATTTCTTTTCACCCTTCCCCTCTGCATCTTTGTCAATCCATCTCCATGCAAGTGAATTGCAGCTCCAGCCTAGTGAAATGGGAATGGTTTCCATGACAACAGATTTTTGCTCTGCTAGTTAGAAACGGAGATTTGACTCCCACAGAAATAAATCTCACCATGGGAGTGGGCTGATTTTTGTAAATGACTAAATAACTGCACAATCATTTCCAAAGAAAAGCCTGTTATAAGCTTGCACCAGCAAGGGTGGGTGACGTGAGGTGACTGCTGAATCTGCCGCTAACATCAGACAGAGCGATGTGCAGCGAATTGCCTGTCTTGAGCTGCAGCTTGCTCTGCTCTGCACCCGCAAAGTGTGGGCTGCACAGCCCGGCCCTCCTGTGAATGTCAATGATGTTTTAATGCGAGGTGGAGGGAATAGATTTTAGAGCACCTCATAGCAAATGACGTGTTCACCCTCAAATGCCTTTCCTCTGATTTCCAGAAACTATTAGTTCCTTGGAAAGGCATGCAGTATGGTATGAATTTAATTGCTTATTATCTATTTTTCTGTTAAACTTAGGGGCTGCTGTCGTACTTCTTTATCACCACTTCCCCCTCTTAGTAAACTGTCTTATTGTATTACTTAAAAATTATACAGAAACATTTTCAAGTTTTTAAATTTTCATTTTAAAACCTAACATGGTGTTGTTTCAAATAATGCTGTATAAACATATTCCTTAATAACATTTATATAAATCATAATGGTTAATTCCAATTTGTAAGAAAAAAAATTGCTAGCAATCTAGTGGTAGGTAATTAACAAAGTAAATTCCATTAATTTCATTCCTGAATCCATTAAGCCAGATTTCCTTCTGAACAGTGGTTCTCACTGCTGAAGCAGGCAGTTCTGTGAGAGTGAGGTTGTTGCCTCAGCAGAGACCTGACATGGGAAATGAGTGTGTAGCTGTGAATAAGGATGCAAGTATTCAAGATGGAATGAGGACTCTCTGCAAAGTGCAAACCTTGTAGCTCAATCAACTCCTTCCTACCCCAGCTTGTGATGTATCAATGCTAAGTGAGCTGGTTTTAAAAAGCCACTGCAAGTATTCGACAGCAATCCCTCAGGTCACCCACCACCTGTCATTGTCCCCACCCAGCAGAAGACAATTATAGCCAAATATGGTAAAGTGTTCATCTCGTGTGGTGCACCTCCCTTGTCCCCTCAGCCTGTCCCCTGATGCCACCTCTTCCTTCTTCTCCCAAAGCTTAGGAATAATCTGATACCAGTCACTTAAGAATGATCTGCCAAACACCCCATCCGTTCTCCTTCCATTGAAATTCATTCGCATTCAATTTTTATCTAAACCAAAGATTTCCCTTTTAAATCCTTTATTCCTAGTTGTCAAACGAAAGACTTTGTAGCTAAGGGAATTTTTGGTAATACTGAGAAAAGTGGGAATAATTTTGGTGAGAAAGGGAACCTTAAAATTATATTAGTTTTACTTTGCTGGCTACAAAGGCACACCTGATTTATCTTTTTAGGATGAAGCTTCTCTTTTCCCATCCCTGCCACTGGGCATCTTCCTCCTTAGGGTAACAGCAGCTCTCCGAGGCCAGTGGAGGCCTAGTCCTAGTGGCAGGTGGGGGTGGAGGAACCACTCTGCTAATGACACTAGCTAATGAGTGCTTAGGAAAAGACAGATCTCATTTTTAATATAAAATAGAACTTTCAACTCTCAGGGCTATCAGGAGGTGTGATGGGCTGCCTGGAGGCCGAGTTACCTGACCCTGGAGGTTAGGCAAAGGATGTCAAGCCTATATTGGAACATTGTAGAGGGTATTCAAGACCTAACAGGTCTGGGTTACCTGGAAGTTCCCTTCCAACTAGATGTCCTGTGATTCAAGAAGCATTATAACATAAATTCCCATTAGAATAGAGGACATGTGATATTATTGTCAGTAATACTGTGGCATAGTTTGCCTTAACTCAAACACCTTTAAAGTGACAGATCTAGTAATTTGGGTATTTGTTAGCAAGAGAATGGTGAATGGTCCTGATAAGACCCTTTTAGTGAGCTTGACTATATAAACAATAGGTCTATTATCCGGAATTAATAATTTTTCTCATTTATCTTTCTTTGGTCATCAAAGGCAGACCCCGATTCAAGAGTGAGGAAACAACAGGATGCACAAGGACACACGTTCATGAATTGTTTGTAGTGGTAAAAAAAAACCCTGGAACCAACCTCAATGTCCATCAACAGAAGCAAAGATAAATAAGCCTGGGAATACCCACACAGCAGTTACAATGAACGAACCAGAGCAACATACCTCAATATAACAATCTCAGAAATATAATGTTCATTGGACAAAAGCAAATTGCAATATAATACAGAGGTTAAAAATTCAGGCTTTGAAATGATAACATTTTAGAAATGGAGGCCAATTTAGTGGTTGTCAGGGGTTGGGATTGGATGGGGTTGGAGGTGAGGGGAATGAGAGAGAAGGTGTGGTTTTAAAAGGGCAACATGAGGGAACCTTGTAGGGTGGACCTATTGATCATCTTTACTGTGGTGATGCCTATATTAACTTACACAAATGCTAAAATTGTACAGCACACACACACACACACAAATAAAATTAGGAGATCTGAATAAAAGCAGTGGGCTGTATCAATGTCACATATCAATGTGATATTGTGATACTGTACTATGATACAGATATGCAAAATGTTACCACTGAGGAAACTGGGAAATGCATAGAAGAGATATCTCTATATTGTTTTTTACAACTGCATATGAATCTATAGTCATCTCAATGAAAAAATAAAGGAAACATCACTTCAAATGTGAAAAACCTGGAAAATATTCTTGGTCTTCTCTTCTAACACTTTTTTCATTCTTGCAGAAAAAACAATCTGATTTTCATTCATAAAATTACTTTGAAAGCCATGGGAAAAAAACTCAGCCTTTGGAACCAGACTGCCAGGAATTGAATCCTGGCTTTCCCGCTTACTATCTGTGACATCTTGGACAAATAAAAACTCTGAGCCAACAATAACTCATGCTCTTCCTTTCTAATTTGGGCCTGGCAGGATGGCTTCTGCAAAGAAGGGTGATGAGAAGAAGGTCCATTCTGCCCTCAAAAGGTAGTGACCAGAGAATACACCATCGACATTCACAAGTGCATCCATGGGTGGGTTTCAAGAATTGTGCCCCTCGGGCACTCAAAGAGATCCAGAAATTAGCCCTGAAGGAGATGGGAACCCCAGGTGTGCAATTGACACCAGACTCAACAAAGCTGTCTGGGCCAGAGGAATAAGGAACGTCCCACACCACATCCAGGTGGGGTTGTCCAAAAGCGTAATGATGATAACGATTCACCGAATCAACTCTATACGTTGGTTACCTAAATACCCGTCACCACTTTCAAAAATCTACACACTGTTAATGTGGATGAGAACTAACTGCTGACTGTCGAACAAAATTGTAAAACTGCCTTAAAAAGAAAAAAGCAACTCTCAGTCTTAATTTCTTTTTTTAATAAAATGGGATAACAATAGTTACCCACATCATCAAAGTGTTGTAACGACTAACTGGCTCAATATATATACAATGTTTACAACAGTGCTGGCACATCTTAGGTGCCCAGTAGATTGTTGATTCTTACTATATAAACACTATGATACCACTGATATGAAATTTGAGAAAAGGTGATACTAGAATAGGGGTTCATATGGGTAGAGTAAGACTATAAAGAAATGCATGGTGGTGATAAATACAAATTCAGGACAGAATTAACTCTGGTAACAG